GTCCGGGAAGATCCCACATGACGCGGAGCAACTGAGCCCGCGAGCCACAACTACTGAGCCCACACACCACAACTACTGAAACCCGTGCACCTAGAGCCCGTGCTCCACAACAAGAGAAGCCACTGCAACGAGAAGCCCGCACACCGCAACAGAGTAGCCCCCGCTCACCGCAAGTAGAGAAAGCCCGTGCACCGCAACAAACACCCAACGCAGCCAAAAATAAATTTTAAAAAAAAGCAGCCAGACAAAAATGACACATTCCTTTGAAGGGGTTAACAGGGCCAGCTCACCTCTCGTCAGGAACAACGGAATAGCATCTCTAAAATGCTGAGGCAAGAAAGTCAAACCCAAACCACCTGCCAACGCAGAATCCCATTCCCACTGAAAATACCTTCTGCTAATGTAGGCGAAATAAAGATATTTTTAGGCCACTAAAAGCTGGGAGAATTTGTTGCCAGTAAACCCGCACCACAAGACGTATTAAAGGGAGCTCTTCAGGCTGAAAGGAAGGGATCTCAGATGGAACCTCTGGTGGGTCAGCAGATGAAACAAAGAGCAGTGGGAAGCGTGACCACGTGGGTGAACATACAAAACTCTTTTTTTTTTTTTTTTTTTTGTGGTACATGGGCCTCTCACTGTTGTGGCCTCTCCCATTGCAGAGCACAGGCTCCAGACGCGCAGGCCCAGCGACCATGGCTCACAGGCCCAGCCGCTCCGCAGCATGTGGGATCCTCCCAGGCCGGGGCACGAACCCGCGTCCCCTGCATCGGCAGGTGGACTCTCAACCACTGCGCCACCAGGGAAGCCCACAAAACTCTTTTTAAAAATGTATTTGAGGGGCTTCCCTGGTGGCGCAGTGGTTAAGAATCCACCTGCCAATGCAGGGGACACGGGTTCGAACCCTGGTTGGGGAAGACCCCACATGCCGCGGAGCAACTAAGCCCGTGTGCCACAGCTACTGAGCCTGTGCTCTAGAGCCTGCGAGCCGAAACTACTGAGCCCACGCGCCACAACTACTGAAGCCCATGAGCCTAGAGCCCGTACTCCACAACAAGAGGAGCCACATCAATGAGAAGCCCGCACACCGCAACGAAGAGTAGCCCCCGCTCATGACAACTAGAGAAAGCCCACGTGCAGCAACGAAGACCCAATGCAGCCAAAAACCAATAAACTAGTGGTTAAGCACCCGCCTGCCAACGCAGGGGACACGGGTTCGAGCCCTGGTCCGGGAAGATCCCACGTGCCACGGAGCAACTAAGCCCGTGCGCCACAACTACTGAGCCTGCGCTCTAGGGCTCGCGAGCCACAACTAGAGAAAGCCCGCGCACAGCAACGAAGACCCAACACAGCCAAAAATAAAATAAATTTATTTTAAAAATGTATTTGAAAGACTTGACCGTATATAATGACAGGGAATTGCGGGCTTATAACATATGTCAGAAGTAAAATAAATGGTAAAAATAGCACAAGTGGGGGTAAGTGGGAATAGGCCGACATCACACAGGTACCCCTCTCTTCTGCGTTCCTTCCCTGTTTATAACGAAAACCGCCACATGAGCTGACCCCTCTGGTTCCGGCACCGCCAGAGGGCTGGCCTGGCCTCCTCTCCGCCTGCTCTCCCAGCTGCGCCATTTCCACTTCCCCACAACACAGAGGTGGCCTCTACCCCTCCATCCCAAGCTGGGCAGGCAGCACTGGCCTTTCGAGGCCTCGGTGCTGGAGGGACACCCTGGCAGCAGGTGGGAGCCTCAGCTCAGGCTCGTTCCACCAGCTTCTGAAAAGGCTGAGCTGCCGCGTTCTCGGGCCTCAGTGCATGATTCTACCTCTCTGCCTGCAGGCCCCAATCATGGCCGTCCCCATGCACATCCTCGTAAGGTCGTCCCACGTCCGTGCGAGGATGTGCCTTGTGGGCGACTGTCTCTGATTCACGGTGGGGATTCCAGGCTCTACCTGGAAAGTTCCCTTCAGCAGCAGCTTTATTTTTTATTTTTTGGCTGCGCTGTGTGGCTGGCGGGATCTCGGTTCCCCAACCAGGGACTGAACTCTGGCCACAGAAGTGAAAGCACGGAGTCCTAACCAAGAGGCCACCAGGGAACTCCCAGCAACAGCTTTAAATACCCGCTCTCATATCCTTCAGACTGAGAACGACACTCACTCGGCCACCATCTCCCGCGTCAGCAACTGCGTCAACTCTTCACCGTCTTGTTCTGCTCCCCAGGCCTTTTCTCAGATCTCCCCTGGAGCCTCGGGCACCTTACAGTTTATCCTTCGTTTCTAAAATCATTTGTTCTTTCATTTCCTTCCAGAATTGGATCACCATTTCCAAGTCTGGTTTTTGTCCGCGTCCGTCCCTTGTTGTTTTTTTTTTTTTTTTTTAATAAATTTATTTATTTATTTTTGGCTGTGTTGGGTCTTCGTTTCTGTGCGAGGGCTTTCTCTAGTTGTGGCAAGTGGGGGCCACTCTTCATCGCGGTGCGCGGGACTCTCACTGTCGCGGCCTCTCTTGTTGCAGAGCACAGGCTCCAGACGCGCAGGCTCAGTAGTTGTGGCTCACGGGCCCAGTTGCTCCGCGGCATGTGGGATCTTCCCAGACCAGGGCTCGAACCCGTGTCCCCTGCATTGGCAGGCAGATTCTCAACCACTGCGCCACCAGGGAAGCCCCCCCGTCCCTTGTTTTTGAATTTCTGATCCAAGATGGTTTCATATCTTCTGACGCTGTTGGAACAGTCTTGCCCTTCCCTGACCTCATGCGCTCTCCGGGGGACGCTGGGGTTCCTGGCTGGGGCAAGGGACATGTTCAGGTTGTGCTGTGAACCTCTGCCTTTTGGCTTCTGCCCACCTCGCTGGCTGCCCCCTGCCGATGCTCCCACACAGCCCAGCAGAGAGAAAGGGGTGGGAGGGAGGTCAGGCTCCCACGGGGAACTTGGCGGTGTCACTTACTTTGTAAGTGTGGGCAGGATGTTACACACAGCAGGCATTCCTCCCAGTGGTTCTGTGTTGTTTGGGACAGACGGTGGGCTACCATCGTTTTCAACTACCTGGAATCCTTGTGAAACTGTTTCAAGAACTGCTGCTGTTGTGCTTTCTTAGCTGATGCTGCCGTAACAGAACAACACAGGCTGAAACCACAGATGGTATTTCTCACTGTCCTGGAGTCCGAGATCGGTGTGGCCGGTTCCTGGTGAGGGCCCGCATCCCGGCCTGCAGACAGCCACCTTCCCGCTGCATCCTCACCCAGCACAGAGAGCTCTGGTCTCTCTTCCTCTCCTTACAAGGACCCTAGTCCCATCATGAAGGCCCCATGCCTCCTAACGCTGTCCCCCACTGCGGGTCTAGCAGCACCATCTGAATGTTGGGGGACATAAACAATCAGTCCATAGCCACCAAAGTCATTTTTCCTCAGCTGTGTCCACAGTGACTGTGATGCTGTCACAGGGCTTCCTACTTTGTGCTGTCGGGTTCACTCAAGACCTAACCATTCACATACAGCTGGTACCTTTTTGCTCCTGGAAGGGAAGCCTTAGGGTTAGGGTTTCAGATGCACTTGTGCAGACAACGGCAAGGAGCCTGTCCTTCAGCTCCCGTGTTTGCTGTTCTCACTGTGATTTACTTCAATGGCTCTTTTTTCCACCAGCCCCAAGTAGACCAAACGTGGTTTTTTTTTTTTTGGCTGCGTTGGGTCTTCGTTGTGGTGCGTGGGCTTCTCACTGCCGTGGCTTCTCTTGTTGCAGGGCACAGGCTCCAGACGCAAAGGCTCAGTAGCTGTGGCACGTGGGCTCAGTAGCTGTGGCTCGCGGGCTCTAGAGCGCAGGCTCAGTAGCTGTGGCACCTGGGATTAGTTGCTCCACGGCATGTGGGATCTTCCGGGACCAGGGCTCGAACCTGTGTCCCCCTGCACTGGCAAGTGGATGCTTAACCACTGCGCCACCAGGGAAGTCCTAAACCTGGTTCTTACATCCACTTCAGTTCCGTTACCTTGTTTCCGACTGTTCATTTCTCCTGAGCAAGGGGACTGCCACTCCCCGGCTCCTTCCCCAAGTTGTTCTGCCTCCTAGCCTGTCCCTTCACAGGGACTTGGCTATCTGAGCTGCTGCTTGCGTCAGCCAAGTCCCTTGGAAAGACTGGACACCACGCTCAGAATTGGTTTCATTTTCCTTTATTTTTTTAAAAAAGCCCCTAAGTTCTATGGCTTCCAGGAAGCATCAGAGAAACAGAAGTGCCATTTCTGTACACTTTTTGTAAAGCAAGACCTAGACGCACACGCGGGGTGCCCCCAGTTGCTCTGCCCTCAGCACGCGGGCCCCAGGGGACCACGGGGGCCGCACCGACAGGCTGCCGGCTCCACACACACCTGCGGGGCTCGGATGGGCTTTAAGGCGCTTGTCTCCATGGCTCGGCCGGCAGCGCAGAGCGACACAAAGAGCCTGCGGGCACGCGCCACCCATGGGCCACGTGGTGGCCACCCCGAGTTCCAGGCCGGCGGCTCCACGAGCAGGTGTGCAGGACCCCTGCGGGCTGTGCCCAGCAGCCCAGGCTTTGGTGCAGCATTTTAGTTGGGGGCTGCTCTCATCCCGCCTTCCCCTTGGATCTGGGGAGGCCCAGGGCGGGCTCACCCCTGGCAGCAACGCCCCGCAGCGCCCCCTCGAGAAAACGGCCTTTGGATCGAGGGAGACAAGCTGCACTTTATGACACTAACGGGTGAGCGGCGGGCTGGACGGAGGCGGCCGCGCTACTTACTCAGCAGACGCGTGGGGGCACAAGGCAGGGCGGCCGCTGTGGTTTTCTCTCTTCCTTGTTTTAAATAGTTAATGCTCTCGGAGGGGAGGACTAGACACAGGTGTAGAAATCTCGGCCAAAGTCTTACGTGAAGGAAGTGACCCCACGTGGGGGCCGGCAGCTCTGCCAGGCCTGCAGTCTGCATCCAGCGGTGGCCACGCGGCTGTGGAAAAGCGGGCCCCGAGGGGCTGCAGCGGGAGGCTTCAGAGGCCACCGCCCCGAGGTCACTTGTGTCGCTGCAGAGATTTTCTCTTCCTCCTCTTGAAGAAACAGCAGCACCTGGAAGGGGTGGGCACAGGCTAGGAGGCAGCACAGGCTGCGAAAGGCGGTGCAGGCCGGAGAAGAGGGGGGTGGGGGGTGGGCACGAGGGGGTGGGCACGAGGGGGTGGGCCCCGGGAGTCCCAGCCCCCGGCAACCGCGGGGGCCTTACTTGGTGTCGTCGGCCACCTCCACCTCTGCGGGGGCCGTGATGGGGGCGTTGGAGTGGCCAGCGGTGGGGTCGTCGGCATTCAGCTCCCCGTTGGTGGAGTTCAGTGCCTGCGGGTCAAGATGGGCAGGGGAGCCCTGTAGGCCCTGCTCTCCCCCCCCCACGCTGCTGGGGTCCTCGGCCGGCCCCTCACCTGGTTTTTGCTGTATAGCAGGGCTTTTTCCCGAACCTGAGGCTGCGAGGGCAGGTCGGTGTGGACCGTGCCGATGGGCGTGGGCTGCAAGGGGGCAGGATGCGGCTGAGGCCCGGCAGCCACCCCCCGCCCCACGTCACGTGCCAGCCACCCCCGCCCCCGAGCACAGGGGCTTCAGTGTCCTTGCCAGCTGCCCCCACGCGCCAGGGGCCCCTCCAGCACCAGCCTGCCCTCCGCCCACGTACCAGGGGCTTCCCAGCCCAGTCGTACTCGTAGTCGAACACGAAGCCGCTGCGGTCAAAGAGGTCGGTGAAGAGCTTGCGCAGGTAGTCGTAGTCCGGCTTCTCGAAGAAGTCCAGGCGCCGCACGTAGCGCAGGTACGTGGCCATCTCCTCTGCGGACAGCAACAGGGCTGGGGGGCATGGAGGAGCGGGGCGGCGGCACTGGGCAGGCGGTCCGTGGGGAGTGCGGGGGACGGGGGGGGGCAGACCCTCACCTGGGAAGCTCTCACAGAGCACCTCGATGGGCGTGGCCCGCTTAGTGTCCCCGATCTTCTGGTAGCGCTCCTTGAGCGTGTCGGCCTGCAGGGAGAGCGCGGTCGGCACCAAGGCGCTGCCCGCGGGAGACCCCCATCCCCGCCCCCGGCGCACCCACCTTGAGCCCCTGCCAGGGCAGGCTGCCGCGCAGGAAATACATGAACATGTGGCCCAGCGCCTCCAGGTCATCACGGCGGCTCTGCTCTGCGGG